GTTGTCTGGCACACCAAAAAAAACATTTTTTAATTTGTAATTTTATTTATTTATTTATTTTTCGACAGTTTCTTTAAAACCGCATTTTTGTTATTGTATATTAGCACTTTCTTTTTAAGTAAAACATGCACCATAAACGACACAGATATAATGCGATAACACCAAATATACGATACTCGTTCCTGTTGCTAGAATTATGCTACTTAGCAACTGGAGCGATATTAATCACATTCGCACTTATCTGGAAAATGAAATTCGGTCTAAATATACGGAGTATCGTAATCACTCAAAATTTGCTAATTAGTAAGTGTTCTAGTTTACTCAAATATTGCGAAATTGATAGAATTCTTTATTAACTTTTGATTTATAATTTAGGCGGATTTGTATTAGGTGGGATCATAATATTTTCGTCGTTAGTAAGTTTAATAGGGTACTCGAATCCATTACGACGAAAAAAATGGCTTTCAGCTCATGCTGTATTGATTATTATCACCATAATTTTATTATTAAGTCTGGGTGCAACAATTTGGTTCGAGACCTTGGAAGAACAAAGGACTTATAGCGATGAATGGGAAGATTATGGTTCGGAAACGAAGGTTATGGTGGAAGATACTGTATGTAAAAAAAAAAAATATTTTTCATTGCATTTTTCTTCTCTTTTTATAATCCTCTCTAATTTGTTTTTTTATGCCTTAAAAAAGTTAAAATGCTGTGGTTGGCAAGACACTAGCCTTTTCACCCCATCAAATTATTGCAACCAACAAAGTGCATCGGGCAACAGCACAGTTCCATGTGTGGGCCCCCTAATCAACGCAATCGATAAGACGATGCGTCAATTGTTCACCACGTTATTTGGGTTCATAGGCATCGACATTCTTATCTTTTTCGCTACCATTATTTTGGTGCAAGCGAGTAATGTCGAAGAACGATACCGAAAGATTGATGAAAAACATGCGGGAGTTGACCGTGCCCTGAGACGGCAGTATGTTTGACGTGATCAATTAAATTCTATAAATAGATCTTTTTCGACTTTGTTGCAACCAAAAATCAATATTTCACCTAAAAAAATCCGAGTTCCGTTAATTCTCCTACATAACTGCTATATACATAATCATAACAATACCAATGTACATGTACTATAATACAAAATTTTCTTTATTGTGTTCTGGAAATAGGTTTTTAGTGGTTGGATTTTGGTTGAAATATAAATAATACTAATAACGACAGCAAAGGCAAAACTGTTATAATGCAACGAGCGTTAAGTACCTAACTGTAACAAAGAGAAAATTCGTATTTTGGATAATTAAATATCTAATTGTATTTTGGATATCCTGTTTATGGGAAAAGCAACGAATTTCTTTTACTAGTCACTTCAAATATCACATTTCTGAAACATGAATGAAGAATACTAACTGTTTTTATATTTTCGTGTAAATTGACTATAAGAGTGAAAATAAATTATTATTTCAGAAAACCCCGAGTTTGAAATTTACACTTAAATAACGAATGATTCGGGACCGTGGTTTGGCACACTAAAAAACTACCGTTAATATCCCTAATAGATATGCATCCGCAACAATAGTATCAGACCTCTAGGATAAATCATTTTTTGTGTGGTAATCATATTTGCCGACTGGGTCTAACATGAATTTTGTATGATGACGCGTCTCTGTAAAGGTTCAAATAATGCTAGTTAATAGAGTCATGCTAGGAAACAAATTCGAGATGCAATCCGTATTTCTATTCTATCTCCAAATTGAAAAGAAGCCGTTTTTGGAACCAGAATAGCCAATCTTGCAATCCTTATAAAAAAAAGACAAGCAAGGAATGGCATAGTATGGTACGTACAAGATAAGGCTCCGAACGGTAAAAACCGTTACTGACCAATCGGTATCGGTAATATCGGTTTATTTTTACCCACACTTCATCTAAATTTCAAAAGAAAATAATTTTTCCCTATAATAAACTTTTTTTATACATGATAAATATTTATGCATTTAACTTGGCGTTAGCAAAATAATTTTTCAAATGGCCTGA